AACTGGATAAATTACGTATACTGCATTGAAACAGATGAGGGAGAGAACAGTTTTAAAAGGTCTATTTTTATTAAGGTTGATTTATATGTACTTTGAGTCCTTGTTGTTAATGTTGTTATGTGCCATCGAGTTGCCTGTGATTCAAAATGACCCTATGTACAACAGCTCTGAAGCCTGTCCTGTCCTGAGCCAATCTCACTCACTCCAACATACCCACTCTCATTGCCCTAGTTATTATATCAATTCACTCATCCATGGTCTTCCTTTCCGGTGCTGTCCCTCCACCCTTTGAGGACGATGTAGTTCTCCAAGAATCAGTCTTTCCCGGCCAACTGCCCAAAGTATGTCAGACGAAGCTTCAATATCCTAGCCTCCAAGGAGAAACAAGTCTCCAAGACAGACCTATTTGTTTTCTTGGCAGTCCATGGTGTGTTCAAGACTTTTCCTCAGCCCCACAACTTAATGGCATTGATTCTTCTTCTGTCATCCTTAGTCAATGTCCAGCTCTCTAATGATAGCAAGTAATTGTGAAGTCCCCTTAGATTCCTATAAAAAATACAGCTTGTAGGAGGAAGAACATCACGTGGGGTGATTTAAGATATAGAAAGCTTTTTTTAATAATAACTTATAATAATTATTAGTAATGTTATTACTACTACTAATCAAAAGTATTACTAATATTTTATTTTGAAATTACTATTTTGTCTATAAAGGAAAGAGTAGGCTTCCCTGAAAAAGATAGCCCAACAATGTGAAACCTAGGAAGTTCTGATAAGAAGCTGTGCTGTAATCCCAAAGATATGCAGTCCAAAACCACCAGCTGCTCCATGGGAAAAAGATTGTCAATCTCCTCCCGTGTCATTAAACTGCTTCTGAAAACCCTTCCGAGGCTCAGATGTGGGTCAGTTCCAACTGACTAGTACACAACAATAATAATGCAAACTCTTCACTTTATACTCTCTAGGATGTATTTTATTGGTATGTGACACTAGTTTAGAAGAAATTATTTATTTACATTATTTATTTAATATATATTCTCCTACTCATTGATGACTTTATATTTAGTCAAAATGTAATTAATTAATCATCAACAAATGAAAGACTTTATGGAATTGAATGTTTGGCCTTTTTTCGTTAAGAGCAGAACTAGATTGCAAACGGTAGAAAGATTATAAATTTTATAATTTAAAGATGATAGCATTAGAAAGTCCATGGGACAGTTATACGCAGTTCTAATCTATCCTGTCTCTGAGTTATATCAACAGCTGTGAGTTTTAGGAATGACTTTGTTATTCTGCCTTTCTCAAATAACTGTTCTTACTATTTCCCTCAATTTGGGGGGGCACTGAGCCAATCTTGATAAATAGTATTACAAAAACACAATAAATAAAGAACATATGCCAAAGTTTAAGACAAGATTGTTTTTAATTTAATTAACTTGTTTGAAGAACATGCTTCAACATATTCAAAATGTTTTTTTTAAATATATAGACAGAAAGATATACAGTGATATTAATGAGAGCTGGATGGAACTCCTTAGATAGAATGTGGTATTACCATTTTTCTTTCTATCTCTTTTAGTGGAAACTATTAGAATTGTCTTTCCCTGACCAGTGTCTACCTTATATAGATATTGCTTTTACATATTTTACAGGAAAGATACACTGGTATGTGTTACTTAACAGCTATGATCTACCATGAAATATGATTCTGTGAAATAGGAAGTTATATGATTTGAATGTTGTATTAAAACTGTCTAAAAGAGGAGAAAACAGGAAATAGGGAAACAGGATCATGAACATCTCTCTGCAAGGGCCAAATGAAATGAGAACAGCACAGCCCTCACTGCCTTAGAGTAGAAGACAGATAATAAAGAGCCCATGATCCAGCACCGTGGTTGCCTCTACAGCCACATCAAGAACTAGAGGTACTTTTATTCATTGATGACTCGCAAACTCATAGTTATGATACCAAAATGATGGGCGGTTTTTTAGAGAAGGAAGTTGGCAAATGGAGGAGGCAAAGAATGTCACCCAACGTAAACCCAAGTTTTAGCCAAGCAGTCTCAAGGCACAATTCCTCAATCAGTCCAAGCTCCAGTTTGAGTTCAGCAGTTAAATCCAAATCATGCAGCAAAGTTTGCCAAAGCTTCTCCCTTAAAAATCCAACTAAAATAGCCAAATCTTTAACTGTTACCAGCACAAATGAAAGAAACCTCAGGTCATACCTTACCACTGTTTGTCCACAACAATGCCATAGTCTCTCCACCATCAGGGTCTCACACTCACCAGGATCTTGCCACCACAAGCCATGCTCATCGTAATTCTTGCTACAACAAGCAGAACTTACCTCAAATCTTTCATGATTGAGTCAAGTCTTGCTGACAAGTGTGAGGAAGCATTCTTTCTCTTATCCTGGTTGATTCTTTCTCTTATCCCACAGCTGATTCTGATTTGCAAAACCATGCTGACTTGAATATCATGTGTCTGAGTTAAGGTAGCTGTAGACCAGAGGCTAACTGGCTAAAAAAATCCAACTTTATTCTACCACCACAGCCTACTCTCTGGCTTTTCTTAGCCACTATTTCTCATTGTTTAAAAGATCAACCTTTTCCTCACCATCATCTATATGTAGGGAAATATGTATGCGAGCTACTTCATTCCTTAATCCCCCCATTTCAGACAGGCAATTTTAATTTTTCCAGTCTTATCAAGCCAGCACCCTAAGGAAACAAAAATTTCTTTTTCTCTGAAGAATCATGCATTACAATTGAATCTGCATCTATAAACAAGAGTCTAGTCCAGAGTAAGTTATCAGGTCACTGCAATTAACAATAGCTTTCAAGGTGAAATATCTTCTCTTCATCTGTTTGGGTTAGGGTCAATACACCCTCAGCTATCTAGCCTCAGTGGCTAGATTCAAATGGGGATCAGTCAAAACTCAGGAAACATCAAATTAAACATCAAATTAAAGCTTTAGGGAGCTTTTTATTATCAATTTAAGAGTCACTGCTGAAGTTGTTGCTGTTAGAATTAACCATAAAAGCTGAAGAATTGTGTAGCAATCAGTGATGGCAGATTGTTGGATGAAGGCAAGAGTAAAGAGGCATCTTGTCTTTCTCACTATTCTATCCATCTAAGCAGCAGGGTTGCCTCAAAGTTCTAAGACCTACCACTACTGTCTTGCCCACAAGACATGAATCAAGAGTTAATCAAAGGTTATATACTCTCTACTTCACTTTTTTGGTGACTTGTCCGTGTCTCATTTTCCAAAAGTTTAGTGTTAGGGTCTCTAATGGGAAAATCTCACCAAAATACGGAAAAGCAACGATATCAATCTGGAGACTAAGGTGTGCCTGATACAGGCCATAGTTTTTGCAATTACTTACTGTGAATTGGAAACCTGGACAATAACTAGGGATGATAGAAAAGTTGATGCCTTTGAGCTGTGGTGCTGGAGAAGAGTGTTGAATATACCATGGATTGCTAGAACAAGCAGGATTGTCCTAGACAGTGAGACCAGGCTGCTCCTTGGAGGAAAGGTTTCTGAAGCTTTGTCTGACACACTTTGGGCAAGTTGCAAGGCTGGACCTGTTCTTAGAGAGAGACATCATGCTTGGGATGGTAAAAGGACAGGGGAGGAGGGGCAATCTGTCATCGAGATCTATTGATTCAGTGATTGGGGCAATAGGGGCGGGTGTGTTAGAGACAATAAGATTGGCACAGGACAGAGCAGGGTTTAGGATTGTTGTACATAGGGTAGTTAGAAGTCACAGGCAACTCGATGGCACATAACAACGACAAGAACAACAACTTTGGGAAAATCCGCTGTCAGGGACCTCTCTAGAGCACTGAAGAGCAATGATGTCAATCTAGAGACCAAGGTGTACCTGATCTAGGCCATGATCTTCCCAATTACTTGCTATGCATCAGAAAGCTGGATGACTTAGGGTGATAGAAGAAGAAATGATGCTTTGAAAAGAGTATTAACTATATCATGAACTACCAGAGAGCAAAGAGGGTGAAACTAGGCTGTTCCTTGGATGCAAGGATTTTGAAGTTTCATCTGACATAATTTGGGCTTATTGAAAGGAAGAACCAGTCCTTGAAGAGGGACATTAAACTTGGAAGGATGGAGAGGCAGCACATGAGAGGAAAACCCTGAATGAGATAGATTGACTCAGTTATTGAGACAGTGTAGGTAGGTTAAGGTTGTCTCAGGATAGAACAGGCTTCAGACTGTTGTAAATAAGATTGCTATGACTTGATGGCGCATATCAATGACAATAGCAACAACATTCATAATAAACAACTCATTATAGTGCCTTTAAAGTTGACTGAAACTGACCCTTTCTAGAGTTTCCAAACTAAGATGCCACATGAAAGGAGATTGTCTGTCTTCCTCTAGTTGAGTAGTTGAGAGAGTTTAAAGAGATAGAATATCTATAGAATAGAGAATCTAGTTAGAGGCTGAAGTACCACCTTCGTGCTAGCAGTACAACTCCCTATGGTCAAGGCCACATGAGATCTCTTAAAGCTTAAAAGTAAAAATATAAAGCAAAGAAGACTATTTTATCATGAAAAGATTAAAATTTTATAAAGTTAGTGCAACCACATATATGTTAGCCAGACAGAAATCATACCTGATATGTATGGTATGTGTATATGTGTAAATAAGGAATTTATAGATATTAACAATTTTAAACACAATCTATTTACTAAAAATATAAACATTTCAAAGAACTTAAATGTATTTACTTAACAAATGACATTGTTATATTTCAGATTTTAAAAAACCAACTTTAATTAATAATGTAGTGATATTATAGTAGGAATAACGCGTATTGTGTTGTCAAGTCATGTAAATACTTGATTATATTTGAAAACCTATGTAATATTTCAAAGCAAAGGAAGAAAAGATATATTAAAAACTAAGGATAGGCCTATTTGGATGATGGTGGCTAAAATTTTTATATATTCAATCCAGGGTAACAGGCAAGAATGGGCAGTTGGAGAAATCAGACAATTGGAACAGATTTTATTCTACTAGGACTATTTTTCCATATACAAGTCCCCAAGCTTCTCTTCACATTCATCTTCCTGGTGTTCCTCATGGCTCTTGCTGGAAATGTTGTGATGATGATGCTCATTTGGTTGGATGCACGACTTCACACTCCCATGTACTTCCTTCTAAGCCAACTATCTTTCATGGACCTCTTGTATACCTCCACTTTTGTCCCCAAGATAGCTGTTGACTTCTTATCTGGAAGAAACACCATTTCTTTTATTAACTGTGGAATTCAACTGTTCCTCTTCACGGCCCTCGTCGGAGCAGAGTGCCTTCTCTTGGTAGTCATGGCTTACGACCGCTATGTGGCAATATGCCATCCACTTCGCTACACAATTCTCATGCGCCCTGCAGTCTATGGACTCATGGTGATTGGAACCTGGCTGGGATCGCTACTCAATGGCTTGGTCCATGCAATATATATTCTGAATCTTCCCTACTGTGCTTCCAGGGAAATACATCATTTCTTTTGTGAGAATGTAGCTCTCCTAAAGCTTGCTTGTGCAGACACATCTCACTATGAAAATGGTCTTTTTTTCAGTGGTGTTGTGTTCCTCCTCATTCCAATATCAGTCATCATGGTCTCCTATGGAAAAATTCTCTCAACTGTTTTGGTATTAGGTTCAAATTCAGGGGTGAAAAAGGCTCTGGCTACTTGTTCTTCCCATATGATTGTGGTGTGTCTTTTCTTTGGAACAGCCATCATGAAGTATGTTCTTCCCAAAGCCTATCATACAGCTGAGCAGGATGAAGTTCTTTCCGTCTTCTACACTCTCCTCACTCCCATGCTTAATCCCCTTATTTATAGTCTTCGGAACAAAGATGTGGCTAATGCCCTAAAGAAAGTACTTGGAAGGTGAACCACCTTAATGAACTAGTTTCTAACTATTGAGAACAAAACATGAATGACATAAATGTATGACTGTACCATAGATACACAATAAACAGCAAGTAAAGTAATAATTTTTGTATGTACCTGGTAACAAAAATTTTACCCTATTAAGTTGAAAGCTAATGTGTCAAAGTAATCCTTCTAAATGAGAGACATCCTCATCTCAGGTACACTAATTAACAAATTAGGAGATTCTAAATTATGAGAACCATGTTTGTGGGAGTAAAAAAATAAATATGAATCACAAATAGCATTTTTTACTATGATACAAAGGTAAAGATGTGCCCTAGCAGTGTCCACTAATAAGGATTTATAGCTTCAGAACTATGATAGGGTGTCCCTTGAGTCAGAATCAACTTCATAGCAGTGAATTTGGTTTTTGTGGGGATTTACATTATACCGACTCTCCTAAATTTCAAGTAATTTCTTTCATAAGAGCAATGTCAACATTATAATTAAAATAAAATATCAACTTTAGCAATAGATGATTATTTGTGGTTGTTGTTGCTGTTGATTGTTGTCAAGTCAAGCACGACTCATAGCGACCCTGTGAACAAAAAAGGCCTGAAGACTTTCTATAACTATCGTCATTTATCAAAGTTCACAGCATTTCCAGAGGCATGTTGTTTAGAAAGTGGATGACACTTCTGCTTCCAAATCTGTCTTAAACTGGTAACTCCACCAAATGCTGTCCACCACAGGTAACCGTTATAGCATTTAAAATTCTAATAGCAAAAGGTTTAGCATCACAGAAACCCCAGTTTACCTCAGTACACCAAATTGACAGAAGAGTGCAGTATCAATTAGAAGAATATTCCTCCAAAATATAATAACAACCAACCTTAAATACAAAGGCCCTACCTGAGGTCTTGTTAACTGTAAACAAGAAGCTTATAT